TATTCTTTAATACAAATATGTTGCCGGCATTCACACTCATCAGTTGACAAACAGTTTCCCAGCTGTCAGATAGTTGATAGTTCTGTGACCAAACAGGACCGGTTTGGCGCCGAGACTATGACGGGACTGATGTGTCTGAATCGACCTTTAAGTGTTTAAAAATCCGAGAAAGCGGCACTAAACAATGTACATGATGCCCATTTACAAAGAGCATAAACACTAAAGATCCAAAGCTGAATGAAGACCTACACTTCATCTAATTTATATAACGATGCATGTCATCGCGTCATAGCCTGTGACGTCATATGATACCAACACGAAATATTTAGGGGTTAGGTGTGTTCTTTTTAGAATCACTTTACCGAGTACACTGGCATTACAGCCACTAGGCATATTGTATTATATACGCTTAGAAATAATATTTAAAAATTTCTATTAATGTTAACTTAAAGAAATACACAATAATATGTTTCATTAATTTGTATAAATCCATTATAAAGAGTTTTTTATCAAGAACATTTGTTCAGAACACACTCTAATTGTATTCGAACAAAGGGTAAAATTTTGGCATAAATTGGTAACACTTATTTGACAGTTGCGGTGTTGACACTTTTTGTACTTTATTATTTTGAATTTTAAAGTGAATACCTCTTGTTTTATATTTTTACCTATTTAATAAAAAATCTGTTCTTTTTAGAACAAAATTAGTGTGTTTTATTTCAAAAATGTCACGTAAGAAATTAAATAGACGTTGTTAAGAGATGGTAATACTTTTGCAATAATTATGTGACCTAGTTTGATTTTAAAATGGAGTCAGGATTTTTTTTATACTTTGGCAACTATGTCAACTTCGATCTCTGACGTAGATAATAGACGTAAGTCGTTATCTAAATTAGATGAAGTATACGTTAATAAGCAATTAACAAAAATGTAGAAACCCTCTTGATATACAAAATACTCATCCAATTCTAAAAATCCCTACTGTGACTGCATACTAGGATCGCCAATTAAATTTATATAATTTGGGAATTCCTGTTGGATGCCAAAATCAGGAAATTTTTAATATTTGGACAGAGAAGAGGTGCCCAGGACGTTGGCTGGACTCTAATAAACACAATAAATAAATACATTAATTCATTGAAGAACATATTCGAGCCACTGTTAAGGATTTAAGACTATGATCTGATTAATGTGGACCAAAAGATTGTAGTATAACTAATCTTTTAACTTATCCATGTCTTGCTTATTCATCCAAAGCTTAAAGTCCGTGTCAGACGCTAAAATATTTGATCAAACTAGTTTGGCCAAACCAAAAAATTGACAGCATATGACGTCACATCCTGAGTTTGATCAAATCCTCTAAAAAATAGAGGATCTTCTATTTTCAAGGTCAGTTTGATCAAACTTTAATTTTGATTGGTCGAAAAATATCTAAAGTCAAATGACAATCAGCAGTTAGACATAACGTATTTAAATGAATTTTCTTTTTTTCTTTGGTTGACAGTGTGTGTTTTATTTGTCTTCCTATTTTGTTATAAAATAAAAATAAAAATTTAAAATATCTTGCAGCCAGGAACAAGTTTCTACATAATTGATTTATACCGAGAAAGAATCTGTTTATCTAATGTCAAACATCTATATTATTATAAAAATCCTTTCACCCTATTTATTTTCTTTGTGTATAAGAAAAATTAGAATCGTAAATAAAGCCCAAGCCACTAATAAAATAAGCAAAAAAGACAATTAATTTCCTTGACATACGCCAATTTGATCGAATTTGAATGATCGGTGTGACCAGGTAGATTTTTAAAATTTGAACAAACTGTAATTATGACGTCATTTCAGGACGTCAGTTTGCTCAACCTAGTTTGATCAAATATTTGACCGTCTGACACGGACTTAAAACATTAACAATTATCGTATTATCCGGACATAGTTTTTTGCCTAATGACACGCAGCTTGGAGACGTGGAGCCAGCAATTAAACTACAATAAAGGCTCTAAACTGATAATGGTTATGTCGACGTGATGGCAAAATGTAATAGAAAAAGGAAGTTTCTGATTGTGTCTCCCCAAAAAGATTTTGTTTTTGTTGAAAATTTACTAAACTGAAAAATTGATGATGAAGTGTCATGGTTGGTTTGTCATGAAATTAAAATTCTTAAGAAACAACCAACTGTGTGAATAATGAAAACAGATTTGGACCCAAGAGTCAAAATATGTTAATATTGAAAAAGGTGGGGAAGGTCGTAAACCTGCATTAAACGATGAAAGGTCAGACAGTCAATCCTCATCATCTGAAACAATATCAGATGAAAGTTTAAAAGAAGTGTTTAAGTTAGTTCCCAAAAATGCACAAGATTTTATAAATTTCTGTTTTCGTCAAACATGAAAAGAAAAGATGATGTAAATGGGTTTGGTGTAAGTAAATCTGAACTTCGAACTTGAAGAAGAAACTAAAAATGATGAGTCTTTATAAGAATCGCAGCCTGATTCAAAATGAGATCAGAAAAATATCTTGTTTTAAATATATTTGAAGAAACATTATTGCTGTATTTGTTATATCGAATAAATGAAAAAAAGAAAAGACTTATTCGACATTTTTTATATTTTTCTATGAAACCCCACTATAATATTATTTTAATAAAGTTATTAAGAAACCGATATTACTTTGTCCTAAAATTTCGCGTTTATATCTTTCATCAAACTATTTTATTTAATTTCTCAAAATCTCATAGTTCCTTCTTGCATAACACCATCCACATACCTAGTGCGCATATCTGCATTCTTTGTTGCTATCCAAAATAATCTTAGACAAGGAGAGAGAGAGAGACTCTCTTCTTTGTCTAAGCAAATAATTCATATCTAGAAGATTCTGTCGCTATTGCCAAATCTATCTACTAACCTATCAAAGGACAAGTGGCAAAAAATGTTCTTATAATTAACTGTAATTAATATTAAAAAAAACAAATATTAATTCATTCGTGTTTCATATTTATTATAAAATTGAAGAATCCATAAAGTAGTATAATAAAAATGTATTTTTTTTAAAGCTTTCTTTCTTTGTATTTGAAGCATATAACTTATATATTATAAGGACATGGCAACACTGTCAACGCAATATTTTCTTCTGTGAAGTGTGAAGTATGAAACTTAATTGACAGCTAATTTGAAGCTATCTTCACCGGAACCAAGTGTGAAGAGTGACCATTGTTTTTTGTTTACATATTTGTGGTAGTTAAAATTTTTGATTTTATTACCTAAGCCTATTTATAATCTAAATTTACAGGGAGTAATATGTTCGTATACACATTCAATTTTTGGCATATTTACAATTTTTAATTTTAATACCTAAAACTACTTATAATTTAAATTTACAGGACATTATATATTCCTAGATACATTTTAATATCTGCTTATTATTTGAAAAAATAATTGTATTCAAATTGACAGACAATGGACAATATAGCTCAATTAGTCTTTCATACATCATTTTGATATTTTGTCTGCTTGTTTATACCAATAGAGGCTATACATTTTAATGCAAGTAATAAAGCTGATAGTTCGGTAGTATATATTGAAGCTTCATTGGGCAATCAACATGATTCTTTGTAATCAGAATTCCAATATAAAGTGCTGTAGATCTCCCACTTTACTACAGGAGCATATGATAGTTGTCCCATTTGGTTGGTATCAGTGATCCCTATGTTGTGTTTGTATGCAGGTGTGAGTGCGTGGTTTGATCTTATTCTGTTTATTGTTTTTTATAAATAACCATATGTCTCATATTTAAACCATCTTTCATTGGGAATTAGTGGTTGGCGAGTTCTAAAATTTATTCCAGTTGTACTTTGGTTGTATAAACGTTGCTATCTTTGTTTGCAATTGTTTCTACTGATATTATCTATGTCTGTTACTGGAAGAAGTATGTTGTTTATATTATGTTTGGTTAAAGCTGCAAATTTAGCTAATTGGTCGACTTCTTCATTTCCTAATATTCCAGAGTGTCCTTTTAGCCAACAAATAATAATCGAGCTACCTGTGGAAATAATATCATAATGTAACCTCTTCATTTCTATTTCAATATAGTTTAGGTTTTTTGTGGTTTTGATAGAAGTGAGTTTGTCCACAATGCTTCTACAATCGGTCAGAATGATATAATTATTTATACCAATAGAGGCTATACATTTTAATGCAAGTAATAAAGCTGATAGTTCGGTAGTATATATTGAAGCTTCATTGGGCAATCAACATGATTCTTTGTAATCAGAATTCCAGTGATATATTGCACAACCCATTTTATTTTGAATTTTAGAGCTGTCAGTAAAAATATATTGAAATGAGGGCCACTTATTTCCTTTAATTATTTTGTTGATCATACTTCCTGTAAAGTTTGAATCCATGTAATATGTTTCTATTATCTTGGAGAAGAGAGTCTTAGGAGTTTTGAGTATAAATTTGTCGTATTTTTATTTTGATACAATTGTTCTTCAAATATTGT